AATTCTCTTTTATCTCGTGTGCATCTTTAGGACAATATTACAAAGACTGCATCTCAGAACTCCCATTAACCTCTGGGTCATACTAAAATTAGTTATTCAGCTTTGCAAGTCTGTGCTGTCAGTAACAGAAACTCCTTCATGCTTGCTGATACTTGTCTTTGGGCAGTTCTTCAATCATTATGTGAATATATAGCTCTGCAAGTTTACGTTCTGTTTATGTCAGCCAGGGAGGGAAAATGCAAACTGTTGTTTATCTGAAAGAGTTAGGGAACAGGCTCTTTCAATCAATTCATGTTCCAGTTAGCTGAGTGTTCACATGCACCCTTTTCTATATGTGGTAAGCTTCTAAAGAATTAGTGTCCAACTAGATGCATTTAAACTGCATGTGGAATGTAATTTAAGTTTTTGTTGATGGGTTAAGATTTTATACTGCCTTAAGGCTATCATCATGAGTGTTTTTTAAATACTCCAAAGGTCACATTTAAAATTGAATCGGGTGTTATGGATTGAATTGTGTCCCCCCAAAAAATATGTGTTGGCATCCTGACCCCTATACCTGTGGATATAATCCCATCTGGAAATGGAGTTTTCTTTGTTATGTTATTGAGGCTGTATCAGTATAGGGTGTGTCCTAAACATTTTCAGACTTCTAGCCTTCTGAACTGTGAGAAAATAAATGTTCTTTAAAGCTACCTACTTGTACTTCTGTTATAGCAGCACTAAGAAACTAAGACATCAGGCATCAGCTGTTTTTTTTTTTTTTTTGTTTGTTTTTTTTTATTTTGTTTTGGTCTTTTGTGACTTTCTTTTAAAGTGGAAAGTTTGCAGACTTACCATTGTGGGGTTGAGGCCTCTTGAGATCCCTGAGTGAGGGGAAGAAAGGGGTGCCAGTGAAGCTGAAAGGCCCTCAAAGGCTCCCCCGAAGAGCTAGGCTCCCCCTGGCTTTATGCTCCCGAGGGCGGGGACTTCCTCCCACTGTCAGCAGTGTGGCCACTGAGAAGGTCTATTGAAACCAGACTGTTGGCTGTTTCACGTTGTTAAACGCAGGTTTGCTCTTTCAGCAGGGAAAAGAGGGAGCGCAAAGGGTTTTTCTCTGCGTTACCTTGGCAGGAGGTTCGTTTCTCATTTATTCTTTTTTTTTTTTTTCTCATTTTTTCAAAGATATTTATTAAGTGCCTATTGTGTACCAGGAACTCTAGATGGTGCTTAGTCTACCGCCATTGCCATCAAGTCCATGCCGACTCATAGTGACCCTGTAGGACAGAATAGAACTGCCCCACAGGGTTTCCAGGGAGCAGCTGGTGAATTTGAACTGCTAACCAAGTCGAGCTCTTAACCACTGTGCCAGCAGGGCTCCGCTTAGTATACAGTGGTAGACAAACCTGAGCTTGGTTCTTGCCTTCACGGAGCCTACAACCCAGAGGAAGTAAACAACCAAACCAAAGGAGACACGAACAGTTACAGATGTGGATAAGAGCGTGGAGAAACCCTCAAATGCAAGAGTAATAAGGGGACCGGCTTTAGACTGGGTGGTCAGGGCAGGCCTCTCTCAGGTGGTGACATTTAGGCCGAGACTCAGGAACTGCGATATAGAAGGTGAGGAAACAGTGGATCAAGGCAAGGACATAGCATTTACCAAGGCCCTGAGGCAGGCTTGGTGTTTTGAGAAACTGCAGTGCAAATAACTTTACTTCAGTTGAAGCATAGGAACAGTCAGGAGCCTGAAGGAGGACTTCTCTCCCCCACCCCCCACCCCCTTCTCAGCAGTCATTTTTCACACAGGCAAATACAGAGGCATAATGGTCCTTTGGACAACTCTCTTTGTAACCAGAAAATATTTTATATTTCCTATGAAGAAGTTGGAGTATATTTATGGCATTAGCACTTATTGATCTGCTCCTTATTTTACTTAAACCCAGCAACTCTAGATTCCCTTGATCCTACCCTGGGAGATTTGGCAAGCATACATAATAGAATATAGTTTCATCAATGTCATAAAATAATTTAAGCACAGATCAAAACCTACCTTAAATTCTTCTGAACCTTTGTCATCATGAGTTTGGTTTTCACTCGTCTCCCTGTCCAGATGAGCAGGTGGATTGTAAAACACCAGCGGCTTCTGTTGTTGTTGTTGTTTTGTGCCATTGGGTCCATTCCGACTCACAGCGACCCTATAGGACAGAGTGGAACTGCCCCATAGGGTTCCTAAGGAGCGGCTGGTGGATTTGAACTGCCGACTCTTTGGTTAGCAGCCAAATGCTTAACCACTTCACCACCAGGGCTCCTTCCAGATGACCAGGTATATTGTAAAATACCAATGGCCTCTAGTTGATTATATTTTCTCAGAAAAAGCATTTTCATCTTTAATGAGTACAGTCCAGAAACAGAAGAACCCTAGGATCATTTCATCGAAACTGATGCTGTAAATAAAACACAAACTGGGCAGTTGGGTCCTTGCATTGAGGATTGTGCTGAATTTGTCATATCTAGTGGGTTCCTTGTTGTTGTTAGTTGCTGTCAAGTCAGTGCTGAGTCATGGCGAGCTCATGTGTGCAGAGTGGCACTGCTCCATAGGGTTTTCAAGGCTGTGACCTTTTGGAAGCAGATTGCCAGGCCTGTCTTCCGAGGCACCTCTGGGTGAGTTTGAACCACCAACCTTTTGGGTAGTAGTTGGGCACCTAACCGTTTGTGCCACCCAGGAATCCTATTTAGTTGGTATCAGAACAGAAAGGGAACTACCTTTACTGAGCCTTGATGTTACGTTATATTCAAAGGACAACTTGAACTCATCACTGAGGCTTTCCAATGTTCTCCTTTTTCTAGTTGGTACACGTATGTCTGATTTCTATTTTAATGTTAGGGTAACTCCGTTCCCTCTTTCCTTTGCTTGTCACTCAAGATTGACAGCAATGAGGCACGAAGCTCCACAGTTATTGATCAGACAGTAAGCCCAGTGTTTTCCATTTCAGCAGCTGTTCATTGCACCCTACGGTGGTCAAACATTGCCCTTTAGCTGCTGGGCACCACACATGATGGACTTCACTCCTTCCTCAGTTTCCATTCCCTCTATTCTCACCTGCACCATTTCTCCATTACCTGTCTGCCTTAGTTCTGCTTTCAATTCCCCCCGCTTTTTCCTTCCTTTTCCTATTTGGAGCTTTTCTTTACTCACGCTCCCACTGCCCGCAACTTTCCTTCTCCGTCTCTGTGGTCTGGCCACCCAGCTCTTTTTTATCTCTCTCTATTCTTCACTCTGCCCCTTTTCTTCTCTACCTTCCCACTGGTTTTTGTTTTCTAGGCTCATCTCTGCCTTCATCTCCTCTGATGCTAACAGCATTGGGCACTGAATTTTAGTTGGTGTTGTTGACCCCACTAACAGCAACAAACTTCACTTGTGCATTATTTGAACTTCATGTTAGGAACTGTGGCACCCTCCCCCCCACCCCGCGCCAACACACACAAGTGCCTAGCTGAGGGCCTGGTATGGAGGGGTGAGTGGTGAATGCATTCTGGTGGAATAAACAAATGACTGACTAGATTGCTCATCAGCTTGATCATGTCCATTAGACACAATTTCTGCCTTTTAAAAAATTTCTGGATATTGAAGCTTCCTGAGTTCCTCAAATAGATGATGATGGATGGATGAATAGGTGGGTGGATAGATGATGACAGGTGTAGCAAATGCCCTGTGTTGTTTATTGCTCTGCAGGTCACATGATAGGGGAAGACTCTCTGTGCTGCTAGCAGGAAGAACCTGTTGGTAAATCTGGGTTCTAGTCCCAGCTTATCTGGTCCTGCGACCTTGCCGGGGCCATATAACTCCTCTCAGCGTAAGTTCATTCATCTGAAAACGAGCCACCTTACCACAGTGCATTAGAAGAAGATGTGTGTGAAAGCACTTTATGAATTACAAAGCACTAGCCAAACAAAGCATCATTATGTTGCTGGTATTCATCATAATACAGAGGTATTTAAAATTGGAATCTTCACATTACAAATATGTGGTTTGCTTTTAAGTCCATCTATTGAAGGACTGTGTCTCATCATCAGATGGTAAGGGCCGACATGTGCTCGAGGCCACAGAGAATAATTTGCAGAGAGGCCTCCCTTTGGTAGGAAGTTATGCTTAAGAGTAGACAAATAACGATGAAAATAAATGTGTTTCTAACAGCAAGTGTTTACGCAAGTTAATGTGATAGTTTCCCCATGCTGGTTTTTATTTTTACATGCAAAGATGCAGTTTATAGTGTTCTATACATAATGTAGTTGAGTTGTGAATGTCCATGAATGGCCTCTCTTAGAGTTTCAAAATTCATAAGTTTGAACTTTTTTCCTTTAGTTCCCGGAATGTGGGGAAGAGAGTGCTAAACACATTCACCAAAGATGTTAATTATAATCTTTCCCTGCTAATTTTCTCACTTCTGTGAAACCTTGACTCATTCAGGAGAGAGAAATTGGTCAAACCTGTCTCACTGCATTGAGTCATGATGAGTACATCTGTTTTCAACATTCACTGGACTCCTCTGATTGGCCTGTGAATGAGAAGAAGGCTAAGTCCTGAACTTCCTTTAGTGTTTCCACTTGTTCTACCTCATTGCTGTTGTTGTTAGCTACAATCAGGTTGGCCCCTGACTCATGGTGACCCCATGCACAGTGGCGGAAATGTTACCTGGTTATGCGCCATCCCCATGATTGGCTGGGAATGGGACCCTTATTGTGAGCCACAGGGTTTTCATTGACTGATTTTCAGAAGTAGATAGCCAGGCTTTTCTCCCTAGTTTGTCTTAGCCTGGAAGCTTTGCTGAAACTCGTTCAGCGTCATAGCAACATGCAAGTCCCCACTGACACGTGGTGGTGGCTGTGCTTGAGGTGCATTGGCGAGGATTCTACCAGCGAACCACTACTGTCCCCTCTCCTGCCTTAGCAAGTCCCAGATCATTTACCTAACGCCTTGCAAGTATGCTCTGTGCTTCTACCTCTCTGTTCTTGCATTCCCACAGGCCATGCAGGACTCCTTGGCCGACCTTCCGGAGTGGTACGGAGTAAAAGACATGCAGGCCCACTGGATCGGGGACTGTGTAGGCTGCCATCTGGACTTCACATTAAAGGTGATCAAGTAATAAATAGCATCTCCCGCAACTAATGCTCAGAAATCTCCTTTTACATTTTTGGAACTCACTGAAAAGACCAGCAATTTGGGACTCTACAACAGCGCTGTCCAATAGAAAGATATTGTGAGCCACATATATAATTTTAAACTTTCTAGTAGCCAAATTTTTAAAAAGTTCAAAGAAACTGGTAAAATTAATTTTAATAACATTTTAGTTAACACAATATTTCCAAAATATTATCGTTTCAAGATATGATCAATATAGAATATTATTAAGGAGATACTTTAGATTCTTGTTGTAGTACAAATCCTTTGAGATCTGCTGTTTATTTTATACTTAAAACATACCACTAGCCACATTTTAAGTATTCTATAGCCACATCTTGCTACTGGCCACCATATTGGACAGTGCAGATATATAGGGTATTTGGTCTTCTGGGAGGTCCCTGAATTCTCTGAAATTATGTCCAAAATGTTTGTGTGGGCATTTTCCTGAGGGCTCATAGCGCTCATTGTATTCTCAAAGGAGCCCATGTCACAAAACAGGTGAAAAGCTAAGGGAGCAGAGGCTAACTGTAACAGAATTTCAAAACTAGACAGACTTACAGCTATTAATGATTGTGTGGTTACCTGAGGTTCAAAGGAAGGTCACTACTCAAGGCCCACCTACTCTGGAAGGTGCCTCTAAAACTCTTCTCTTTGCCTCTACTGACTAGAGGGTTTTTCTATTACTGTTTCTTAACTAGATGTTTTAAGTAGTCCAGACCCTTTCCTCATCTTAGTCCCAGTCAAAACCATTAGAAGGAAGCAGCTTCCAAGACAGAAAGTCAACCTGCGTTTTTAGACTCTTTCCCACCTATAACCCAGGTGCTCTTTAGGTGTACCTGGTGTCTACAGAGCAGCTGTTGCTTGTCACTGAGCTCGAAATTCCCTGTGCCATCTCCTCACAAAAGTGATCCAGCTCACTCTGACTACAAATGTGGGAAGCCCACCATAAGGGAGTGTGTAATTTGAAAACCTTTGAAAAGCAAATCCTAGACTGAACTTTTCCTCTTAACACTTTTCTGAGAGGGCAGTGAGGGTTCTGAAATCCTGTGCAGCCCTGACTGTTGTTCAAACTTAGGCAGGGCCATCTCTTTTGGGGGCACGTTCATTAGACTGGGTTTCATCCCCATGTCAGAGGCTTTTGCTTCCCAACCAGAGTGAAGAATGTAAGTCTCTGAGCCACTTGGCTGTTGTACATGGAATGTCTTCTATACTCTCTCCCCTACCTCACATTTTATTATGAAAATGTTTTTGTCTCCATCCCTGGACCCACCTGAAAATGAGATGTGGCAACATGCTGTCTTGCGGGAGAGAACATTCTCAGTCCTGCAGGGCAAGGCCATGTGGGTTTGTGTGTGTGGCCCCAAGCCTGGCCCCATAGGTGGCATCTCATTAGCACTCAGATCACAGTTTTGGACTGTCCTTTAGTTCTAAGCCCTGAGTGTCTTCACATCATTTGCACTCTATATAAGTGGCGAACAAATGCATGAAGGAAGGAATGCCTTTCATCTCTGTGTCCTCTCTGTCAGGCAAACAATTGACACTCAGTTGATGCCACATGTGTGCCTCTTCTTAAAACGCATTTTAACCAGCCTGAGGCACACTCAGGAGCCCCGGTGGTGCAGTAGTTAAGAGATTGGCTGTTAACCGAAAGGTCAGCCATTCAAATCCACCAGCCACTCAGTTTTACTCTGCCTTACAGGGTTGCTGTGAGTTGGATTTGACTTGACAGCATTGAGTTTTTGGAGGCACTCTCAGTTATGAGCTCAGCTCAAGCTTCTGTCCTTTCTTTCTCTCTTTAAAATGAAAGTAGCCTCAACCACTGTATTTCTGGTTAGAAAAGTAGAGGTCTCTGTGTTTTAGTACAGTCTTGAATCCTTGAGGGAAGTATAGCTCCTTTGTCAGGACAGAAACAATATAATATTGAGGAATATTTTTGATTTATGAACTAAGGAGCCAGGAAAACTGGAGAGGCATCTTTCTAAACAGACTTTGACGGCCTTCAGTGTGGGGCTGCCGCACCTGATGGTGGACACTGGGGAGAGGAGGGCCCCTGAGAGAAGCTTTTCCAGTTCTGTTCTCTCTCCCGCCCGTCTCTGCCCTTGCCAGGTGGTCAGAAGGCCTGGGGTCAGAAGTTATCCCTGGTGTTTGGGAATGAACGGGGAAGGGAAAGGGGATGTGGCTGGGGAGCAACACGTCCCAGAGGAGGCAGTGAGAGATGAAGTGACTCCACTTTCCTCCTGCCAGGTTGATGGGCAAGTCACAGCAGAAAAGCTGACGGCCTACACAGCCACCCCGGAGGCCATTTACGGCACTTCCCACGTGGCCATCTCTCCCAGCCACAGACTCTTACATGGGCACAGCTCCCTGAAGGAAGCCTTCCGGAAGGCCCTTGTCCCTGGCGCAGGTGAGTTGGCACGCTAAGGTGAAGACAGGAGGATTACTGCCTTACGTTTGACAGCACTTCACAAAGTTCACGGTCCTGTCGCATGTATCATCCTATGTGATTTGTTCATCCCCTTAGCCTTATTTTTTATTTTTTTAATTTAAAACATGAAGATAAAAAAGAGCTCTAAAAACACTGAATTCCTTGCTCTTGGTTTTATTCTTAGTTACTAATTTGTCTGCAGCTTGAGCTTCTGCCTAAAAGCTCAGCTCTTTTAAGTGTAACCTGGATTTAAAGCTCTTTTCTGATAAGAATAGAATTTTCTGCTTAATTTATAACTCCATCATCAAATAAAACTACACTGTTAGGGACTAGTGGGAAGCCAAAGAGAATTTGAGGAAGCTTTTCCAGCAACTTGATGTTATTACTTTAAAGTATTCACATTATAATATGAACAGATGAACAAAGTCCTGCTTAGTATAGGTCTTTAAACGATCTGCTTTGTGACTGGATCGAGCTGACCCGGAATTAGCATGTTGTTGTTGCTAGGTGCCCTCAAGTCAATTTCATCTCATAGTGACACCATGTATGCAGAGTAGAACTGCCCCATAGAGTTTTCTTGGCTGTACTCTTTACAAATGCAGATCACCAGGTCTTTCTCTCATAGAGCCACTGGGTGGGTTGGAACTGCCAACCTTTCAGTGAGCAGCCAAGTGCTTAACCATTTGCACCTTGGAGATGTTATCAGTCAATGAAGATTTGGAGAGTCCTTATGTATTAGTCAGGATTCTGTGGTTACAAGCAAGAGAGTCTACCTCTGGCTAACCCAGAGGAGAAAGGGAACATATTGGAAGGCTGTGGGGAAGCTGGCTGACTCAGAGGAAGGGCTGAAGAACTAGTCTCAGAGAGGCCTTGGGCTGGGCAGCCTGAGGGTTTCAGCAGCAGGAGCTAACAGACACTCTCCTGAGTACCACTGTCAGATTAGATCTGCTCCAACCTCACCTCGGAGATTGGAGCACTTGGTTCGAGATTCCTCCTCCAGGGAAAGGGTCTGATTGGTGAAACTGGGGCCACTGCCCTTTTTCTTGGCCAAGGGAAGGTCAGATACCTTCCCCAATAGACCCACCAAGACTGTAGCCAGTGCAAGAGGGGCAGCTCTCCATGACAAACTCGGAGACTTTTACAGAGGAAGGGGATTTGGATCCTGGGCAGGTGAAAAGAAGTCCACTATCAATGAGAAATTGGTCTCTGGACATTATTTCTAGAAAAATCTCATCCCTATTCTCTTTTCATAGACTGTAAACTTCAATCCAAAACATACCATCTGATTTATCGGGGTCTGGAGTAATAAATATTTACTACCAAAAATGTTTTAGATGGTGATGCAAAGTTTTTAAAAAAATGATAAACATAATTAATGTCACCAAATTGTACATGTGAGAATGTTGAAATGGCAAGTGTTTTGTTACATACATAGTTACCACAATTTAAAAAAAAAATTGCCATTCTTGAAACAACGAGACATTTCTTGATATCAGACTGAAGAGAGACACAGTGTCCTCCCCTCTTAGCTCTCTTATGACTTCTGTTTACTTACAGCGTTGAAGCCAGCATTCAAATCAGTGCGTAATTATTAAGAGCCAGCTTCGTGCTAAGCATTGCTGGGGATGCATAGATGAGCCACACGGGGTTCTGCCCTCCGGTGGGTAGTAACAGAGCCAGATGCAGACTTAATTCACTCCAGGGGCAGCTATCACTTGGCTTTGTCTCTTTTTTTGTTATGTTTTAAAATAGAGAAAAGTCCCTTCTGAGTTAAAATTTCAGTGTGTGCTTACAAAGTCCCATATAGGTATCTTGCTCAGTTTTATTTTCTACTTACTCAAAACTAAAATTGGATTCTTTATAACTGTTTAGTTTAGAAGGAAAACTCATAGTTTTTACTCTCATGAGCAGTTCGAGATTCCTTCAGGGCTGTAATGGTTGGATATTATCTAAAATTGAAAAACTAAAAAATATTAATCTCTAGTCCTTAGATTTTTTTTCTTATGGTTACTTTGGGGACACAAATTAAAATGAGGTCATATTAGTAGAGGATTAATGAGCTAATAAGTTATAAATGGTAGTGTTCCTGTGATGAAAGTTACTAAATAAATTCAAAAAAAATTTCATATGGGTTCCCCCAAAAGTTAAAAATAGATTTATCATATGATCTGGCAATTCTACTCCTAGGTATGTACCCAAAAGAATTGAAAATAGGGACTCAAACAGATGCTTGTGTACCAGTGTTCATTGCGGCATTATTCACAATTGCCAAAAGCTGGAAACAACCCAAGTGTCCATCAACAGATGAATGATAAACAAAAATGTGCTTTATATGCATACCATGGACTGTTATTCAGCCATAAAGAGAAGTGAAATTCTGATACATGCTACAACGTGGATGAACCTTGTAAACATTATGCTAGGTGAAAGAATCCAGGCATGAAAGGAAAATATTGTATGATTCCACTTATAGGAAATATCTAGAATAGGCAAATGCATAGAAACAGAAAGTAGATTAGAGGTTACCGGGCCCTAGGGTAGGGGAAAAGGGAGTTATTGCTCAGTGGGTGGAGTTTCTGTTTGGGATGATGAAAAGTTTTGGAAATAGATAATGGTGATGGTTACATGACATTGTGAATGTCATTAATGCTGCTGAAGCGTACACCTAAAAATGGTTAAAAAGGATAAATTTTATGGTATTTTGTTTTACCACAATGAAAATTTTAATATGTAAGAAGTTGAGAGATTATTTTAGCATATGCAAAGAGCAGTAGTGCCATGACCGTTTGGGTGCTGGTCTACCTGGCTTGGACTGAGCATTTCGACACTGACTGGCTCATTAGCTTCTTTCTCCCCTCTTTTTAACAATCTCGGAAATAATTGCAAATGGAGCGTTACACTTGGCCCTAAATTTTCCAATTTTAGTTTTCAGACTGGAAATCTTCTTTTGGTACGTGTCAGTTTATTCAAACTCTCTGGATTAATTTGCGCATTAAGTCCCTGGATTTTGACGTGTGGCATTATGTTAGCATCAGGCCAGTGTGGTACATTGAGTAAAATGCAATTCCTCCAAAAGTAAATTAAAATTACAGCAGGAATATGGACGCACTTCTCCTCTGGCCTTTGGGGTTACGTTTTCAATCTGAACGTTGTATCACTACTGTCCTTTACCATTGCTGACTGGCTTATCTTAGGCAAGTGGCTTGTTTTTTCCTGGAAATGTCAGGTTTTGAGAGTGACTAGTGTTAAAGTGGGTGACTAGTGTTAAAGTGGAAGAAACCTTGTTGGCTCAGTGGTTAAAGTGCTCAGCTCCTAACCAAAAGGTTGGTGGTTTGAACCCACCAGCCACTCCACAGGAGAAAGATGTGGCAGTCTGCTTCCGTGAAGATTATAGCCTTGGAAACCCTATAGGGCAGTTCTACTCTGTCCTATAAGGTTGCTATGTGTCGGAATCGACTCGACTCAACGGCGGTGGGTTTTTAGTGTTAAAGCAGTGATGTCTGAGAGTCATGGCAGCACACAGTTGTGACAATGTGTTGCTTTCAGGAGTTTAAATTTGCAAACCTGAATTCCAGCAGTTGCTAAGTTGATTTCTTTATATTGGCTTTTGACTTGGCATAAGATGATAAGGTCCTGGTCCCAGGTCCACAGCTAACCTGTTTAAGTTTAGCTTTCTCAGCAGAGCAAGTGACGAGATTTTGGGCAAGGTGGTCACGGAGGGTCTTGTGGGTAGAGGAGGCCTCAGGGCTCTGAGGAGGAGTGACCCGTGCACAGGAGGACGCTTGAGTGGCAGAGCAGAAGCAAGCAGGCCGGCTATGAGGTTGGCTGTTAGGTAAGGTAAGAGATGGTGAAGACCACACAGCCAAGGTAATCCAAATCGAGAGAGAGGAGCAGCTCTGAGAAGTATTTGGAAGGCAGTGAAGGCCACAAGGATCCTGGGACGATTCTCTGGTTTTTGGCTTAGCTGACGGGGTTGTTGATGTTATTGACTAAATGTGTTCTTTCTTGCTCAGCATGTTGTAATTTGACACAAACTCTTTTAAGAGAGCAAAAGTAAGGTTCTTCCCTAGAGTTCTTGAAATTTAGTTTATTTCCACAATCATTGGCGTTGCCTCCTTTTCTCAGCTGACCGCCCTGATTTATGTAAACTCTGGCTTGATAGGAACTAGAAGCCATAAAAAGCATCAATAGGGAAGTATCATTGGAGTTCTAGAGACTGTTCCGCCTTTTCCTGGAGTCTTTTCTTACATTCCTAATATTAAAATATTCAAGCCCTGGAGCTTTGGAACCACATGTTTCAGCTCTGGGTCACCCGTGGTCTACACAGGGTATTTTTTGCCAAAAGGTCCCTCTAAAGGCCAGCTTAGAACCCTGTTGTTAGTGACGCATCAGGCAACAAGAGCCTCATCTCCCTGAAAGCCCCAGCACACTAAATAATTAATTGCTCTCCGTTGTTTTGCCCTATCTGCATAGCATCAGCATGAGGATGGGACAAAAGGGTAAGGAGCAGAAGCTGTAATCCTGGGGATTATGGTTTGGTTTTTAACCAAATTGTTTCTAGTAGCTTTCTTTCAGCACATGTTAATAGATGTTATTTAAAAAAAAAGAAAAAAAAACCTCTTTCTATGAAGTCAGTTCTGACTCATGGTGACCGCATGTGTGTCAGAGTAGAACTGTGCTCCTTATATAAGGTTTTCAATGGCTGATTTTTCGGAAGTAGATTGCCAGGCCTTTCTTTCGAGACACCTGTAAGTAGACTCGAACCTCCAGCTGTTCAGTTAGCAGCCGAGCATGTTAACCATTGCCCCATCCAGGGACTCCAATAGATGTTATAGGGAGAGGAAATGCTCCTGTGCTCAAATCATCTGGAATAAGCAAAAATAAACAGGTGTCTTTGCTTCTGGACGTCTCAGAACGATTGCTATACTGATGTCCACCGTGACTAATGTCCACTGTGACTAAGAGAGGATGTCCGACAC